TTGTTGACAGCTTATAGTACAGTATATATTAAACAGAATTTTTCACCTACTTTACTTGGCATTTTCCACACATGACTCAGCCATTAAAAAAATAAATTTATCTCACCATTTCAAGGTATAATCAGGATTTTCGTCAACCAATGCAGTAGAAGAGTGTAGATTTACAGGATAATACTCTTTACATCTGAATACCAGACAGTGTCAGCATGCATGCAATTGCATTTTTTCCCAGAGCATTCTGCAACCTCTCAAGTCCAATGAAATATCTGTATGTTCTAGTAAAAAGGTCACGAGAATAGACAAGATCAACAGCTGGCAGTTGTTGTACTGAAATGGCACTATTTCACCCTTTCGCTCCCAAGATCTTAATATCAATAATAATAATAATAACTTTCATTTATATAGCGCTTATATCCTGAGCTCAGGGCACTTTACAACACTGTGCGGGGGACTTTACCAGACTGCTAAGCAGTTTACAATCAAATAAAGGCGAATCTAACAGATGCCCCCTTCCCCCAATTCCCAGTAAACAGGCCAGACCACATCACAGTAATTTCGTGAGAGGTTTCGCCTAACCAAGTTAACTAATTAATAATGATGCAGGAGACGGGACCTACGGTTTATTCTTCCTTATCCGAGAAGACCAGAATGTCTATCCATTTCTTGATGTTATAGAAAGGTAGCACATTCTCCTCAGTTATTTTTAAGACCCTGAGTGTTGGTCCGGCCGGGGCTTGAACCCTCGACCTCCCGCACAACAGTCCGGCACTCAACCAATTGAGCTAACCGGGAGGCGGTTCTTTCAAATGCAGGTTCTCACAGATGTTCTTTTAAGTGCAAGAATACCAATTCAAACATGTAGAAGGGCAGAGTAACACAGGAGATGTAAAGAAAAAGGAGCACGTGATTTTTATATAAAGAAATGTGTAAAAACGCGTGTTTTGCTCTTGCATTTATCGCGACTCCTTGCATCTTTGATGAAAAAAGGGTATAAATCTTTATGGAATATATTTCAGAAATTGCTTTCCAGTGTCTTTAAATGACATATGCTTATACTATTCTAAATACTTACCCAGGGATGTATCCCAATCAAATGGAGTGCACCCGAGATTCTTTACGGCCATGTGGAACGGCTGTCAACCAAAAGTGATGTGTACGTACTGCAATCGTCATTATATGCATCATCAACTTGTTTACGAGGCTTGCTTGACGAATTAAAAGGTGTAGAGTAATTAATGCTTTATTGATCAGGGTCCAGTTGTTCAAAGGCCGATTAGCACTAACCCAGGGTTAAATTTTAATCCAGGTCTCTAAATTTCTCTGATCAAAAGCCCTTTAGGGATAATTTTCGTAATTCTTTCTAGGACATTCAATCATCAAATTGTAGACAAATGGAATTAAACTGAGTTTTCTTTCAGAGCTTTCAGATCTGAAATCAGATTTCACACTAATTCTGGGTTAGTGTGAAATCTGTTAGTTGTTTTTCTGGTATTTTTGTACTGCTATGCATACGAGGGGTTTAAATTCAGAGGAATTTTGCTTTTCGGCGGAGTCGGTGACGTAAAAGAAAAGACCGATTTGTTTAACATTTGCAGTCAGTGGGAATAATGAATGCTTGAATGGTATAAATATCGTCTTCAAAGTACTTGCAATACGATAGAAGTTGTTTTGATTTTCTCCCAAAGCATTCGTTTTATAGCAATGAGTAGACATTGTTATCACTTCGTGACTTATGTCATGCAATTGTTAGATCTATATTCCTTAAAGCAGGTGGTTTGAAATCTCTTAACTCGAAAAGTTGCTGGAGATTTTTTATATGAAATCCAAATAGGAGGAATGAGAGGTTTTGTGTTCGGATAAAATTCATATTTTTGTTTAAACTTGTTACTATTTGTAGGCAATTACCAATAAAACGTAACGTCACAGTTAATTTCATCTGATAAAAGGCAACAAGTAGAGAACTTAATTCAAATATTTTGAAGAATGGAAATTTGTTGTTCATTTGAATCTCTTGTTATGGATGATTGTGGCTACAATCCAAAAGACAGAAACGGGAAAAGGCGAATAGTACCTTTGCTGTCGTGTGACAAAGAAATAGCAGGGCATTTGGCTAATTTTTCATTCACTGGTGTGTTCATCGAATATGATTTGATATTGAATACAGCAGCTGTTTTGCAAGGACCCAACGATGTTGATACATGGACAATATGCCCACTTCATCGCTCAAGACTTGGTCTTGGATAAACGCGAGGGGGAAGTGCTAAATGCAGAGTGCCAGTAAATATTTCCAGGCGTGCCATAGAGTAGTCAATGATGTCGACCAATGTTAACTCTGTACCGCGTCAGGTCTGGTATCCATTTTTTCAGATCATTGAAACCTCTTTTACCTACCAGAATGGACAGCACTTGTCGCCTGTTGGATCAGTGATTTGCATTCTTATAACGCACACAAAGAGCTTCAAGCAAAGTGTAGTCAAGACTATCATCCACGCCTTTAAATCTCGATCTTGCTAAACAATCAAGTACTTCATCAGGGTGTCTGAGGGCTAGTTCATCGAGGCAAGCGGTGATCATACGCCATCTTTTATTGGTATTGTAACGCTTAGTGCACTCCGAGGCTTCATTCTACGGAGTAGAAAGTACATGTCGAATGGAACTGACATCTCTTGATTCTAAATACATGTTCAGTTTGTCTCTAGGCGACGACAAACTAACAACCAGAGACATATCTACATACAATGCATAATCTGTAATGTTTTCAAAGCAAAACTACTAAGATATGAAAAATAGAACTGAAATACAAATGAATTAGAACATAACTAAATAATAGACGACCAATTAAATTATTTTATTTGAATTTTTACCATGACTAATGGTAATACAACTCCCCTCGCCTGGCTGATACAAGCTAACTGCACGGCGTGTCTACAAGGGCGGAGTGTACTGAATGAATACAAGTTGGTGACGCAATTGTTAACTGTTGAAAAACATTCAAAATTGATTTTCGGTGCGCATGCTATCAAGAAGTACAACAATAATAAAACAGGAGTTAAATTCGATCGCAAGGAAATAGGATAATTACCTGAACCAACCGGAATAAGATACCCTGATTCGTGAAAATTAACTGAGAATCCTCTTTCCTTAACCCTCTGTCTGCTTTGGGAAGCTTCTTCGCTTTATGGCCGGAAATATCTGCTGGCACTCTGCATTTAGTATTTACCCCTCGAGTCCATCCAAGACCAAATCTTGAGCGATGAAGTGGGCATATCGTCCATGTATCAACATGGTTGGGTCTTTGGAAAACAGCTGCTGTACTCAATACCAAGTGAAATTCGGTGAACACACCAGTGAATGAAAAATGAGCCAAATGCCCTGCTATTTCCTCGTCACACGACAGCAAAGGTAGTATTCGCCTATCCCCTTTTCTGTCTTTTGGATTGTAGCCACAGTCATCCGCAAAAAGAGATTCAAATAATAAAAGTTTATTTCACTTAGCACATATGAAAATAGTTTTTTGAAGCTACCCTACTTTTCACAAGGCACTTAAGTAAACAGATAGAAAAATCCGTATTTTATTTCAAATTTAAATGGTGATTCTACTTTTTTGTGAAAACATAGGAGAGACATTTTTTTTAAAAGCCTGTTGAATAAGTAAGTTTTCCACTGCTTTCACAAGTACAAACGAGGCCTCTAAAAATGGGCTAAATTCGGCGTTCGAATGATGCTAATTATGCGTAAACTGAGTTTTATCAATTTTCTCGAAAAAAAATTTGTTTTCAACAAACTACCTATGTCTTGGTTTGTTTTACCTATAGGCCTACCTAATACTAGAATATGAGCCAACTCAATTTTTTGACTGTTGCCGGTGATTTGTGAATTTGTCTGATTTTTGGTGTCATCTCTTAAAACCTGATTATGAGAAAAAAGAGATGAAAAGATAAATGGATGATCAAATAGATATATATGGATTTTTTTTATCTTTAAGGCTTTGTTTATATCTTGATAAACATATTCTAAAACATTTGAAGTGTCTGAATTAAAGATGATTTTTCTACCCTAGTTGACATGAGTTGTCATCCCTCTATTTATTCCACAGGTGGTCTTATGGCATAGTCCTGTTTGAAATCTTCACAATCGGTACTCAGTTCAGTTATTTGTTAGTTTACTTTCAGAAAATATACTCGCCGAAATTGCTTGCACAATTGCTAGCTGAAAGGTTATACCACGAGCAGCTGCAGAAGCATTGTATGATAGAGAAGTAATGGCAATACTCAATCTCGCCGATCAATAAACTTTTTTATTACATTGTTTGAAAACCTTTCTTCTTCTATCTTTTATTTGATGTAAACAGGAATATTTTTCGATAACTATCGTTTCAACTTTGAAATCATTCCGATCGTGCCAATTGAGATGAAACTGATTACAACAAAACAGTCATGCTCTTTTATTTGTCCACAGGAGGCATTCCATACGAAGGATGGTCTGAAACCGCGATAATGAGAAAAATCTATCAAGGTTACCGTTTGGCAAAGCCTGAACATATCGACGACAGTTTGTAAGTTTGGCTTCTTCTATATAATACTGAACATGGATTGTACAAAAGAAATATAACGTTACATAAATAAAGTGAGATGCGATAGCTAGCGTGGTCGGGTTTGTTGTAGCTTGCATTAATGTTATCAGATGATGAAAAATGCGATAATGGTGATGATAATGATGTAAATACTTCGTGAACTTTAAAATCTGTTCATACTGAATAAATAGCCTTCCAAACAAATTTGCGCTATCAATTAAAAAAAAACAAAAAACAAAACAAAAATGATTAAACGAAACTAAACAAAAGCAAAACAAAGTCAAAACAAAACAAAACCAAAAAAAAAACAAAAACAGAACAAAGCAAAACAAAACAGAACAAAACAATACAAAAACAAAGCAAAAAACAAAACAAAAAAAAGACATTTTAAAAATGAGATTGACATCACCCACTTTAGTCAGTTCTAGGTTGATGAGACAAATTTAGAATAAGTTGGGTTTTTTGATCCAAGCTCCATTTGAACTGCAATGTAACAAGGTAAATCAAGCGATTTTTCTTTTGGTAAACTTAGCATTTCAGGTATAATTGTAGCTAGTTGTGGTAACCCAACTCTTACAGAAAGATAATTTCACTGTTTTCCTATAGATACGCAGTGATGTTAAGCTGCTGGAAATATCAAACTGCTGCCCGGCCACATTTTGTGAACCTCTGCAAAACAATGGATACCTATCTTAAAACAAAGGTTTGCCATACAGCATCTTATTCAGAAAATACGTCGTCGGTTCTGGGTTTTTTGCGTTGTGCATTTTGGTATTTGTTTCTCTTTGTTGTCTTGTGTTTGCATGTTTGACTAGTTTTTCTCCTTTCCGAAATCATTTGTATTTTTTCACGAGGTACAGGACAGTGTATTAAGATCACAAGTCATTTCATCAACATTCATTATATTATAATAAAGCTTGGATATAACGCGCTCTGTCAATGGCTGAAAGAGCGTATTCTGTTACATTACTAAACACGGAGCTGAGCTAAAGCTGTCCGCCATCGTTCGATTTGTACTTCGACCCTTTCCCAGACTTCTCTCTACTTAAAAACAATAAAGACCTTTTTATTTATTTTTATTTATTTTTCGTTAATTGAAAGCGAAGTTTCGGAACAAATAACCCGGCAGGTAGCTACAGAAGAACCAAACAAGGGTTTGTAAACAAGCCAAGCGCTGTAATTAACGTTATCAGTACTTGATAGGAGACAAAAATTGTCAAAAAGAAAACGAAAAGGACAGCTTGAATGTTTTCGCGCTGAGTCAGGTTGTGAACCTTTATACGGTAATAAAACGGAAAGACAGGCAACACTTGTATAGTTTATATATTTTCGTTTTAATAAACATAACAGAACAAAAAGAAATAATGAAACTTGAAAATATAATCAAACTAGCATAATTGTTGAAATTCATACAAATCATGATGGTGCGAAGAAACTGTTGATTTCGGGTCATCGTAGTGAGGCATCCCTCAGAAATCTCAGAGAGAACAGCTAAGGGCTCACTCTAATGTCCTTTCCAATACGTTGAGTGGAAGGCTACATGAGTTGCAACAGCCGTATGTTACAACGCTGTCATCCCGAGCGATCTTCGAGTTCCTAAGAATTTGGCAGTCCTTCATTCATAAAACATACGCCTCGGGCAGTTTGTTTGCTAATTGCTATTTCAAAAAACTTGCATGTTTTTATGAGACACGATTCGGGCTGATTTCACAGTGCCTTTCACTTTCAGATTCTGTATCAAGAATAGAAAATGTTTTTAGATTCGAATTGCTGAACGTTTTAAGTTTGTGAACTCTTACAGATTGGGAACTGTGATGATTTGACATTTTTGATGGCTGAAGTCTTATTTAACCAATCGAATTACTTGAATCATTCCCGCACAGAATCCGATTGGCTCATTGTAACACGTTTAGTGGGAGTATAGAACATAGCAACAACACTTTAATTTGGTTCGAAAATTAGAGTTTGTTTTGAAAATAGTAGGTAATAGGTTGGGAATTTGTCGGAGACTTCATTATAAAGCAAATTTTAAAGAATTAGCTAGAAACAACACTCGACTACGTCTCGCGTTTTCTCCTAGATTTCTCGGGCCGCTTTCTTTACAAAAGACCAGAGCATAGTCAAGGCTTCCTTATTTGTTAATTGATGGCGAGTATGGAACACCTATTGAAGAGATACTTTAGGAAATTTGGACGGGGAGGTCGACCTTACCTGCTTTTGTTTCTTTATCGATTTATGCACGTAAATCAGTTCCTGTCTTTGCAATTCTCATTATCTATTAAATGATTCGTTTTTGGATTGTTCCTGGCTCCATGGTTGACTTCATTAACTAACTAAGTAATTCCTGATAACCTTCTAATCTTTATCACAGACATATGTGGATATCGTGGACATGGACAAGTATGATCACGATAAGTACAAGTTTATTGATGATCGTGGAGCTGATGGAAATCAAGAAGATACAGGACCGGATGAGCAACGAGCAGGTGCAGCAAATCCCAACCGTGAGGTGGGTGAACACGGTGCTACTGCACATCCTTTTGTGGTTGAAATAGACGATGGCGCTACAGCTTTCCCTCTCAGAATTAGCGTAGGAGACGAAGGAGCAGCTGCAGCAAATCCCGACCGGGAAGTGGGTAAACACGGTGCTACGGTGCATCCTTTTGTGGTTGCAATAGACGGCAGTGTAACAGCTTTCCCCTTCAGAGTTAACGTAGCAGACAAAGGAGCGGCTGCAGCAGATCCCGACCGTAAAGGGAGTGAACACGGCGCTACTGCGCATCCGTTTGTGGCTGCAATAGAATATAGTGCTAGAGCTTTCCCTCTGGGAATCAAAGTAGGAGAAGAAGGTGGGGCAGCACATTCTTTTCAGAGTGATGAAAAAGATATTGATGTCTCAGCGTACCTTAACGAAAGTGATACTTTACCATACCTCAGCGAGAACGAGGAGGAAGATTTTGGGGACTCCGAGTGCCCTCTTGGGCTTGAGGAAAAAGCTATTGACGATCCTGAGTGCCCTCTTGTGATTGAGGAAGAAGATATCGATCCTTTGCCATCTTCTTCGGTGATGGATGATAACGGTCGACGTACTCTGGCATGCCTCTTTGTGACTTACGAGGAAAATCCTGATTGTTCAACATGCTCTCTCGTGATTGAGGAGGAAGATTCCAGCAACTCAGCATGCTCCCCCATGATTGGGGAAGAAGGCTTGGAAGCCACAGTATGCCCTCCTGTGATTGAAAAAGAAGATCCCGACTCTGAAGCACATCCCCTTGCCACTGAAGTGAACAAACCTGATGCCTCACAATTCCCTCCCGTAATCGAGAAAGAAGATGTCGATTCTTTCGAATACCCTCCCCTGATTGAGGAAGAAGGCCATGTTGATTCCGCTTCTCCTCCAGATGTCGAAGAAGGTGGAACAGGGAAACCTGAAACCAATGCTGATAATCAAGATGCTGCAGCAGTACAGTCTGTAAAGATGACAGGAGGTAAAGAACCTAAGACTTGCCAACTTGAGAACACAGAGGATGAACAAGACGATATTGGAAAACATATGGAGGACAAAGGTGATGCTGTAGACCTTTGTGATGAAGAGGTTGGTGTGCAAGAGAGTAATGGTTATCAACTAACGGCCGTTGATACAGACCAAACCGGAAATGAAGAGGACGAGGAGTCATCCGAAGCAACTCCTCTTGTGCAGGACTGAGACATGATACCAGAATTGCTGAATCTCCAATGTTGTAGTCGTATATTACTCAGTAATAGTTTGTGGCCTAGACTTTGAGAACCTCAGGGTTACCTTTTTGTAGCTCTTTATTTTAAGATGTAATGTGCATCTTACAATTATAATGCTTTGTTAGTAATGATAATCATTTTTATAGTTTGTAAATGGAGGGTAAGTTAAAGTTTCCTTGAAAGAAAACTTGCTTATTTACTTCACTTTAACACTTTTTAGTTTAGCGTTTATTCACTTGTTGCACCCGCGGGTGCTTTTTCTGTTATCGACTGTAGAGTGAGAGAGACAAAAGGATATCAAAAAAAGGCATCGCTGTTTAGATAATTTTTATGACTAACCAACTCAGACATGCTCAATGAAGTTGTGTGTTTTCTAAATATAAGTAATATATCCTAATTTTCGTAAGTGCAATGTACAGAAGAAAAATGCTATTGGTTTGTTCGTCTCAATGCAAAGTTATTGTTAAGAACTCAAAGTGACCGTTATGGAGGACAAATAAATAGATATTGATATCTCTTAAGCCACCATCAATATTGACCCTACTAAAGATAATTAACTTGTTGTAAAAGACTCTGTAAATGCTTCATTAAACTTATGTAAGCTAAACCCGTTTTGTTTACTCCATTGCTACAAAATTGCCAGTTCGGAGTAGAAAACTTTCCGGGAGAGAAAGCCAAACACGCAGAAAAAGTCTTAAAGAACAAAAGAGACAAAAGTAGAAGAATATTAGTGTGAGCAAATCTAATTGTAGATTTGAAGGAGACCATAAACTAAGATGACATTTAGCATCAAAGGGTAAGAATTAAGAAAATCCAGTTGCGCCGTGCTCGTTCTTATTTGTGTATTTCTCTATCCCAGCTTATCCTCGCTTTCCAAGCAGACGTAGCATATTTCTAATGCAATATTAACCCACTTATTTTTATATCACTTTTTTTATACACAGCTACTGACTGACTGCTCTTTAGCAATCAATCTGTCTATTCCATTGCCTTAATTAGATGGGTGGTATATTAAGCTGATTAGTCTTTATTGTTGTTAGTTGACATAACCACTTTTTATCATTGTCTGACCCCATTCTGATGATTCATTTTGCGGAAGTTGGCCTAAGGGAGATATTCCAAGTACCAAGGCAGCTTTTCCTTCTGATTTCATCTCTGCAGTCTCAGACCTTTCGACGTCTCGGGAACAAGCGTTTGAATGTTCTCAATACTAACCGTGCCTTTCTGGTAAATTTATTCTAACCGTGCGGTCACACAGTTAAACTTTCAGAGTAAATTCTTTTACAACTTTATTATAATTTTCTTTTTGCACAGATAAATCAATTATTTCTCTGTACACTTTTCAGCAGGCTCGCGTGCGTGTTGTTCACACATGCACTTCGGTCACGGTACAAAACTTAAGTCACGTGATGAAATATTTCTAGCGGCCATGTTTGCTGTAAAAGGCTTTTCTTGGCTTAGAAGTGGTTCATGTATGTTGATCATCTACCTAACGAGGATGAAATGTAAAAAAAGACTATCAAAGTCTCAAGCTAAATAGATATTTACGTCTTTAGTAGGTTCGTCGAGCTACAGATTTCAAATGTTTTCAGTTGGTCGAATAGCATGGTGGAAGTAGCTAGTACAAATTAATGGGCTTATGCTGGAGAAGTGGCCCAATTATGTCATTCTTTTACTCTGGGTAAGTTAAGTGAACAAAGTTTAGCTTTAGTTAGGTTTAGTTGACTTTTGATAATGTTATTTATGCTGCTAAAAGTTTAAGTAAGTGGCTAGAGCTGAGCCTTTCTCCAGAATACCTTTCTATCGCTTTATCTTGATGATCTGTTATTGTATATTTTGAAGTAAATGGTTTGAACCCGGGGGTAACATGTGAAGGTGTAGTCTGATCGTCCGGGTTAGTGTGGTCCTGAGAAGGACTGTTGTCGGTGGTAGTGACTGACGTTTCGACAACCAGTGCGGAAGTCATCATCGGAGTCAAGTGAATGATTGTTGTCAGTAGAATGTTCTTATTCCAGTTCGTGTGAAATGATCGGTTGGTTTTGCCGTGATGTTATTGGCTGTAAGACTCAAGTGACGTAAGTCGGTCGTGATTGGTGTGTTTCGATCTGTCGGTAAAGTTAAGTCGTTCTTTTTCGGTCGTTTGTGATGTTTATGTCGTGAATGAGTCGTTTGTATGG